CTCCAGAAGTGGTGAATGCTCCAACACTGGAAGTTTTTAAGAAGAGACTGGATGGCCATTTGTCTGAAATGGTATAGGGTTTCCTGCCTGAGCAGGAGGTTGAACTAGATGACCTCCAAGGTCCCTTCCAACTTTATTATTATTATTAAAAATACCAACTAAGAAAAGAAAGAAGAAAAAAATAGTATAATTAATGTAATTTACTTTATATTTTGTACTTATCGATAGTCATTTGTTTTCTAATGAATTCGTTGCTATGATATAATATTATTGCAGTGGATACTTCCAGAAGTAATAATTTAGTGGTCATTTTATTTCTTCACTCTGTTTTCTGTCCTTCAGCGGTGGCCTGTCCATGAGAAGATTCTTACCACACAGCTCCTAAGCTGCAGGTCCCAAATCCAGAAGATTTGGGTTTACTCACTTGAAGAAAACGGGAGAGCTGGATAATAACTATTACGTGCTTTAATGCCAAGGATATCAAAAACCATTTTTAATTCTTCCAGTAGTTGTTATATTTTAATTTACTTGTAGCTTTTAAGCTGCAAGTTTTAGGTTTTTGATTATACTATTGGTTAGAATTAGAGAGACTTGTGGCAGAGCAATTAAAGTATGTAGGGCCCGGATAAACCAGAAGAATATTTGGAATGGAATACTGTGAAGCTGCAAAAGCTACATATTTGTCTTTGAATACAAAAGCTTGATTTTTCATGGGGTAAATTATACTGTGTTTTCTTGATGGCTTTTTCCTGGGTTCAATTATACTATATTTTCTTGATGGATTTTTCTTAGGATAAATTATACTACATTTTTAGCTTATTTACTGCTCTTGTATGGGTTTGCATTCTAACTAAAGACAAAACAACACTATAAATCTTTGCAAGTTTTATTCCAATTAGTTTCATTTGCATCAGTGGAGGTGCCTGTAACCCCTCCCCCTTTTAGTGCAAAGATTAATTCTCTTCTGGTTTTGGATTCTTCCTCCCCCACCCCCAAGCTTGACCTCATTGTTTTATGGATAGAAGCTCCCACAGTGGGTAACATACACTTATTTAATTTGGAGAAAACTATTGTGTTGCCTTGCCCATTTCTATCCCTGTTCCTTAATGCACAAAATTATCTTCATGTCATGAAGCTGGGACAGGTCACTCAAGAATGAATTGAAGTTTAGAAAGATCATGATGATGTGGACACATCTTTGAGAAGCAGAAGTGCATCTTATCATGATGCTTTTTCTGGAAGGTTCCTGTGAATATGACCAATTGGCGCTGGCTAATTCACCAATCAGAGACAGGGTGGTGCTCACTGTCAGGCCTGCCATCTTCATCATAGTTTGCTTCGCTGGCATCCTGCCATAAAATGAAAGGGAGAGGAGAGGCAATTGGGGAAGTAAGGAATGGTAGTAAAGTGGGGAACCTGACAGGTTGACAGCCAGAGGTGTCAATCCAAAATAAACTGACTGATTATGGAAGGACGCAGCCTGAGAATGGAATTTGAAACTACATCAAAGAGGTGCCAAACCTCAAAGCCATACCCAAAACATTAGAAATGAATGCTGTTGGACACTGAGGGGCCAGGAAAATGGGGGGGAGGGCCAGGTAAATGGTAGGCTTTGTGTGGGAATACTCAGACCCAGCTTTACTTTTGCTGTAACTGCTTGACTTTAGTAAAAGAAACTTTCACTTCCAACAATGGAGTTGAGGGTCTTTCTTCCCTAAATGTCCAAGTCAGGACAGGTCTGACATTTGCTCTGCTGAAAGTCATCCTTTTAATCTAAACAGGAAGCAAGAGGAAGGTAGTGGTGACATAAGTTAATACCATAGACCAGGGGTCCCCAAACCCTAGGCTGTGCAAGAGGCAGGTGAGTGTGTGAAGCTTTATTTGCACATGTGCGATATTAGGTTGCACATGGATATGTCTACTCTAGTCTAATGAAGAGAAGGACGAGGGGGGACATGATAGCAGTGTTCCAATATCTCAGGGGCTGCCACAAAGAAGAGGGAGTCAAGCTATTCTCCAAAGGCCTGAAGGCAGGACAAGAAGCAACGGATGGAAACTAACCAAGTAGAGAAGCAACCTAGAACTAAGGAGAAACTTTCTGACAGTGAGAACAATTAACCAGTGGAACAACCTGCCTCCAGAAGCGGGGAAAGCTCCAACACTGGATGTTTTTAAGAAAAGACCGGACAGCTATTTGTCTGAAATAGTATAGGGGGATTGGACTAGATGACCTCCAAGGTCCCTTCCAACTACTACTACTACTACTACTACTACTACTTCTTCTTCTTCTTCTTCTTCTTCTTCTTCTTCTTCTTCTTCTTCTTCTTCTTCTTCTTCTTCTTCTTCTTCTTCTTCTTCTTCTTCTTCTTCTTCTTCTTCTTCTTCTTCTTCTTCTTCTTCTTCTTCTTCTTCTTCTTTGCAACCATCTACTCCCCCCTCCACCCCTGCTGCCGTTGCCGGTCTGTGGACAGCTGCCATAGACTGTGTGGGTCTTGGAGCTGCCATCGGGAATCTGAAATGCAAGAGGCAGTGACATCAGAGAATAGTAGACAGGTTCCTGTGTGATCTGTAAGAAAACCAAAGAGTTTAAATGTCCTTTGGAGTCTTCTGAATAATGATTAGCAATGTTTCTCTAATATCTACTTAGGCATTAAAGATATGTCGCACCAGCTGTTCTCCCCTCTCCAGTATTTTTCCCTTGATATATTGGAACAGCTGAATCAGTTAGCAGATTGTCTCCCTGGTTAACTCCCAGTGTTAACAACCGAAAATCTGTGTAGTCTGTTTACCTTTCCCTCTCTTCCTTTCTACTCCTTTTTAACAGGCCTTTACTTTCATTTGTTTATTTGACTTTTTTATCTCAAATGTACCTAATAGAGGTAGTCCTCAAGTTACAACTACAATTGAGCCCAAATTTTATGTTGGTAAGTGAAACTTTTGTTAAGTGAGTTTGCTCCATTTTACGATTTTTCTTGCCACAGTTGTTAAAGGCATCATTGCATTTGAATGCCGGTTGTTAAGTGAATCTGCCTTCCTCATTGACTTTGCTTGTCAGAAGATCTCAAAAGGGAATCACATAACCCCGGGATGCTGCAACCGTCATAAATATGAGTCAGTTGCCAAGTGTCCGAATTTGGATCATAAGTGTGAAAAATGGTCATAAGTTACTTTTTTCGGGGCCATTATAACTTCGAACGGTCACTAAATGGACTGCCTATACTTTTTCCTTCTCCTAATTTCCCCACAACAACAACTCTGTAGGTTGGGGTGAAAGAGAGTGATTGACCCAAAGTCACCTAGACACCTTGCCTAAGGAAGAATCAGAATTCACAATCTCTTGGTTCCCAGGTCAGCACCTTAACCACTAGATCAAACTGTCTATGGTGAGTCAATGACTGAGTCAATGAAGGTCCATTCTAGACTAAGGATATAATTGTCTGGGAATGGTTTTCCAAATTCCAATCTTTCAGAGAGACAAATTCTGAACAAGCCTGGGATTCTTTGTATAAAGTGCTATGGAGCTCTGCCCCAAAGCTATTTCCTATTCTTTCCCTTTATTAATCACAGAGCTTATTAGTCACATTAACTCCCTTCTTTCCTCTCCTGGTTACAAACTGTGTTCATATAACATACTGAACCACAAGGGAGCCAGGCACAATTCAGTCTGTCTTGTTTTGCAGATCCAACCTCTGTTGGCTAGGCTGTGATCCAGTGAATTTGGCAAACCCAGAGTTCTGTTTCAACGAATTCTCTAAGCGGCGGTTAAGTTAAGTGAACACAGCCATCGCTCCTGCGGAAAAATAGGACTTTCCACAATTTCCCTTTACTAATTGTCATGCAAACAGCAGCAGCACAAAGGAGGATGAAAGAAAAAAAAATACAAAGAGATGATCTTAATGAATGATGATGTCAAAAATACTGTGTTGAGAATTCTCTCTGCTTCTACCATTTGTGTAGATGCCTGTGTGGAGGTTTATTTGTTGCAATTTATAAAGCTGCATACAAAAAAAGGAAATAAGGTAATGCAGCAGTTCTCAACCTGTGGGTCGCGACCCCTTTGGGGGTTGAATGACTCTTTCACAGGGGTCGCCTAAGACACGGGTCGGCAACCCGTTGGGGCGGTGGCCAGTGGGGGCATCGCACCCCGGGAAGCCGAGCCAGCCACGTGTCTCCCCAGGTCGGGCTGGGCAGCACTCCCGGCTGGGGCGGTGGCCAGCAGGGGCATTGCTCCCCGGGAAGCTGAGCTGGCCACATGTCTCCCCAGGTCGGGCAGTGTGGCAGTCATGGCTGGGGTGGTGGCCGGCGGGGGCATTGCCCCCTGGGAAGCTGAGCCAGCCACATGTTTCCCCAGGCCGGGCTGGGCGGTAGTTCTGGCTGGGGCGGCGGCAGCATCGCTCCCTGGGAAGCCGAGCCGGCCACATGTTTCTCTGGCTGAGCAAGGCCGGAGAGGAGGCGGCAACCAGGCAGCCGCACCCCTTCACCATCCTCTGCTGTTGCCTGGCTGCCGTGGGGCTCTCCGATGCCTGGCCCCATCGGTGGTGCCTTGTCATCGGTGGCGCTGCCGCCACCGCCCTCGGTGCTGCAGGAGAAGGAGACCTTGGGCTGCGAGGGCGGTGGGGCCAGTGGCGGTCGGTACCTCCCTCGTCCCTGTGGTGGCACTCCCCATTGCTGGCATGGCTGCCCATGGTGCATGGGACCCCGACGATGCTGCAGTAGCCGCTGCCAGAGCCACTGCCTCCCGTCCTGCTCCCCTTCCTCGCCTGTTCGGTTGAGGATGCGGCGGCCGGGCCGGTGGTGGCGGCGGGGACCCCTGATGATGCTGCAGTGGCTGCCGCCAGAGCCGCTGCCTCCCGTCCTGCTCCCCCTCCCTGCCCATTCGTCTGAGGACGCGGCGGGGCGGCGGCCAGGCTGGGGGCAGCGGGGATTCCTGACGATGCTGCAGTGGCCGCCACCGTGCCGCCGCCATAGCTGCTCCCTCTTGTCCTGCTCCCCCTCCTCACCCGTTCAGCGCCATCTGCCTTTCATTCTCTCTCTTTCTCTCCTCACCTGGAGAGAGAGGGAGAGAGAGAGAGGAAAGAGAGGAAAGAGAGAAAGAGGAAAGAAAGAGAAGAGAAAGAGAAATGAAAGAGAGAGAAAGAGAGAGGGAAGAGAGAAAGAGGAAAGAGAAAGAGAGGAAAGAGAGAGAAAGAGAGAAAGAGGAAAGAGAAGAGAAAGAGAGAGGAAAGAGAGAGGAAAGAAATGAAAATACATCCTGCATATCAGATATTTACATTACAATTCATAACAGTAGCAAAATTACAGTTATGAAGTAGCAACGAAAATAATTTTATGGTTGGGGGTCACCACAACATGAGGAACTGTATTAAGGGGTCGTGGCATTAGGAAGGTTGAGAACCACTGAGGTAATGTCTTTGAAAAAATACAGATACAATTTCGGAGCCAGGTAAAAAGGCATCACCATTAGAATGACTAAGATCTTTCATGCTGGCTTCTCTAGGATATTCCTGTAGGTATCTGCATGTTTTACCATACTTATTTTTTCAAGATCCAATCTGGGTCAGTCACCTGGCCAGAAATTTAGTCTTCTGAGGTTTTGGACTCATGCTGGACCCCATCCTCAGGGAACTTCTCTATATGCATTTATGTGGTGCCTTCCTATTGGTTGATTGATATGCTAACGGCCAGTGAATTGGCTGTTTTTTTCCCCTTGTGCTGAAAAAACCCTTATTTTTTCTTTCTATTTCTTTACACCTGCCTTTTGTTATTTTATAAATAACTCAAGGTGGTGAACATATCTAATACTTCCTCCTCCTATTTTCTCCACAACAAACCTGTAAGGTGAGTTGGGCTGAGAGACAGGGACTGGCCCAAAGTCACCCAGCCACGTTCATACCTAAAATGGAACTACAGCTCATAGTGTCCCGGGTTCTAGCCTTAATCACTAAGACCAAACTGACTTGTAGTCTAGATCAGTGATGGCGAACCTTTTAGAGACCGAGTGCCCAAACTGCAACCCAAAACCTACTTATTTATCGCTGGATGCCAGGTGGGCGTGGCCCACTGGGTGGGCGTGGATGTGGTGGTCATGGCACATTGGGTGGGTGTGGCCAAGGTGGGCGTGATCACCTTGATATTGCTCATGGGGAGGGACGCCTGTGGGGGCCAGGCAGGGTTGGGGGAGATCCGGGGGGTCTCTGGCAGGTGGGACGGTGGCAGGAGGCTCGTCCTGCGGGATGAGGCAAGGCAAGGTGAGGCACAGCGGTGGTGCCATTGTCACAAGGCAAGGTGAGGCAGGGGCCGGGCGGCTGCTGCCTGACACCATGGGCCTTCGCACACAGAGGCCAGCGAGTGCATGGGTGCTGGGATGCATCTGGCCATGTGGGACCTCAGCGAGTTAGCGGGCGGATGGTTGAAGAGGGACGGTTGCCATCTCTGGGGCATGGCGTGTGTGCCCACAGAGAGGGCTCCGAGTGCCGCCTCTGGCACGCATGCCATAGGTTCGCCACCACGTCTAGATTTTCACATGGATACATTCTCTCAATGCTGAAGATATAACCCAACTCATTTCAGGACAGCCGATACTGGCAACACCTGAAAAAGTTACAAAAGTCTCCTCCCATGGAGAGTTCATTCTTGTCAGGGGCGTGGGTGAGGGTGTGGAGGGGCAGGGTTGCTCCTCAAAAGCATGCACTGGACAGATCAGCCACAGTTTGCCCGAGAACTTTGTTTTTACAGTTTGCAGTTGCTCACAACCTTTTTCCCATTGACTTCTTTGTTCGGTCACATTGTCTGATCATGCACAGACAACTGTCTAGACACTATTTTTTTAAAATGACATTTATTCTACTGTAGCATAACATGTCTTGCAGGAGGACAGAGAGCGTGAGCATAGATTGTGAATTCAAGGGGTGGGGGAAAAAAAAAGCTCAGAGCTGACAGCTGCACAGATCCACGATTGTGGTCAGTCATGGACAATAGCGTGGCTCTAGTCAGATCCTGACCTACCCGTTAGACATTGGAAAGCTACATTTTTTTAAAAAAATTAAAAACTTACCTCAGGTATTCCATTTCCGATGATTCATGGCTGTTGTCAGAGGTAGCTTTTTGCTAGTGGAGCAAAGTAAAAAAAAATATCCAAACAGTCTGAATCTTGTGTTCTATGAATCTGAATGTCCTCTTCCTGCACAATTTTTCATGTTACAATAAAGAGCAAGCAGCATATAGTTAAGCTCTGTAGAGACCTGATGTTGAACACTAATTAATGTTGGACTCCACCCCCACCCGAATGTGTACTCTCCTGCCTTACAATTGTATCCCCAGCTTTCCCCAACTGGATGCCTTCCAGATGTGTGAAATGGAGTTCCCAGAATTCTCAGCAAAATAGCTATTTTTTACTGGAGAATGAATTCACACACACACACACACACACAAACATACACATACATATACATATACACATATATACAATGACTTTCCTCAAAGAATCATGTGAATTATCATCTACAGCACTTCGAGAAAGAGAAGTTACATGTAAACCAATGTTTACGTCTTTGGTATTGTCTGGTGCAAGCTATCAGAACCACTCAAGAGTAGTAGAAGCTTTGCAGGTGGTCCTCAACTTACGATGACAGCAGGAAGCTTTATGGGTAGTCCTCAGTTTACAACCACGACATTTCTGATGCTGAGCAAGGCAATTATTAAGTGAGTTGTGCCCAGTTTTATGACTTTTCTTGCTACATTGTTAAGCGAACCATTGCAGTTGTTAAGAGAATCATGCGGTCATTATGGGAACCCGGGTTCCTCCACTGACTTTGCTTCTCAGAGGCCAGCTGGGAAGATCACAAACGGCAATCTCATGAGCTGCAACTATTATAAATACATGCTGGTTGCCAAGTATCCAAATTTTGATCACATGACAGTGGAGATGCTGCAGTAGTTGTAAATGTGAAGTTCGGTTGTAAGTCACGTTTTTCAGTGCTGTTGTAACTGAATGGTCATTAAGTGAATGGTTGTAATTTGAGGACTATAGGAGATGACCAAGCTGAGCCCAAGGGAGGGGTCAAATGCATTATAAGTCATGAGTCCCTGTGTGTCCATAAGAGATCTAAGTCCAGCCCACCTTGAATGCCTCCTTAATTCCCGCTCATTTCCTTTGACCGTTAGTAGCTCAGATTTTTGTAGAGAGCTTAAGATTGCAATATTTATTTATTTATTTATTTATTTATGAGACTTATATACCGCTTTAAGTGCAAGCACTCTCTAAGCGATGTACACCAGTAAGCAATGTATATATATATATATTTTCATTGCCCCCAACAATCTGGGTCCTCATTTTACCTATCCCGGAAGGATGGAAGGCTGAGTCAACCTTGAGCCGGTGAGATTTGAACCGCTGACCTGCTGAACACAGTCAGCTAAAGTGGCCTGCAGTACTGCACCCAAACTGCTGCGCCACCTCGGCTCTTAAATATATCTTTATACTCATTTGAACTGCCTGAATCTCCTGATTTCCTCCAAACTTGACAAGGATTACGTCACAGGAATCTCGCCAGACTGCATTCCCTTGGGAACAGTCAGATAAGGCTTCAGGGATTTGGGGGAGGTCAGGCTTGTGCCACTTTCTGTAGTGCAAGGACTCTAAGCAAAGTCCCCCCCTAACACCTCCTTCCAGTCTAGCAATAGCAATAGCACTTAGACCAGTGGTTCTCAACTTTTTTAATGCCGCAACCCCCCAACCAGTCATAAGTCGAGGACTACCCAACCGGTCATAAGTTGAGGACTTTTCATGCTCGGGAGCGCCGCGCATGCGTGGTGCTGCCCTCTGCGCCAACCGAGGCATAGCTGGCAAGCGGCAGAGATGGCACAGGCCGACCACTGGCTGGGCCACCAGCTGGCCCAGCCCAAGGGAGGTAAGGCACCCGCCGGGCCCCAAGTGTGCCAGCAACCCTCCCTGCACCCGCCGGCCTCTCACCTCCCACCCCTGGCCCTCTTTTACTTCCATTCTTAGTAGTTGCTCAGCAGGGAGGGGTGGAAACTCCCAGACAGCTCGCCTTCGCTGCAGACAACTTGTAGCACCGTTTGCAGAATGGGACTTTTGGCGGGCTCAGCAGGGCAGAGACAGCCTGGACAATTCCTATTGGCTTTTGAAAGCCAATAGAAGTAGACTCTATTCAAGAGAGTCTGTTCTATTGGCTTTCAAAAGCCAATAGAATAAAAGGGAGTAGCACAGCTAAGGAAAAGGGGAAAAAAATGGCGGACTGCATTATTTGGCCACCCCCGTGAAATGGTCGTTCGACCCCAAATGGGGTCGCGACCCACAGGTTGAGAACCGCTGACTTAGACTTATATACTGCTTCACAGTGCTTTACCGCCCTCTCTAAATGGTTTACAGAGTCAGCATATTGCCCCCAACAATCTGGGTCCTCATTTTACTGACCTCAGAAGGGTGGAAGTCTGGGTCAACCTTGAGCTGGTTAGGATGGAATTGCCAAACTGCAGGCAGCCAGCAATCAGCAGATATAGCCTGCATTTTAATCACTACACCACCACAGCTCATCTCTAGCTGGAGATTCCCCCACACCATAGCTACAGTATGCTCAGCTTTCTCCTACCTCATGTCCTCTGGACTCTTAGATTGCAACTCCCATAGTTTTCAACCAAAATGTAATCAGGCTAGCATAGATGGATAACATCAGACTGAGGAAATGGACAGTTGCTCCAAAGGATTTGGGAATCCAACTTCATGATGCTGGATATATTTAGGAGAGATTTCTGAGAACTGTAATCCAAGATATCAATTTGGAGAAAGGCTAGCCTAGAAAATCCTTTGGCAGTCCTTTCAGTGACTAAGCAAATCTAGAATGTGCAAAATTGCTCGAGTGGGTGTTGGGGGAATGGAATGACTCAACTGAGTCATCCAAATACTTCTGCATTTTCTTAATCTGTATAGCTAAGCAGTTCCGGTTGAGACTGCATGGAAGCATCCCAACCAATATTGCTGTTGTGTTGGGTTTTTTTTTTTTGCTTTAATCTTTGATGATTCAGCAGTAAAAAACACTGTTCCTCTTCAGCTTTTGCACATATCCCCCTCTCCCTTATTTTTGCATGCATTAACCTTTAAATCACAGGATTTATTGTACTGTGTGCATTGCATTGCAATGTTTGGGGAGTGTCTTTTTTTCCCTAGCGTCTCCCATTCTTGCCCATTTTTTTCATCATTTATTGGAACTACCAAAATATTTTTGTAAATTTAAAATGTCAAAAATTGGTTTTATATGAAACTCCATGTGACCTGCTTCAATATATTGTTTCTGAACCACCAGTTCAGATCATTTTGTTTCTTTGAAAATGGTGGTGAGAAACCAACAACAATGAATGTGTGTGGGTAAGTGTGAGTATGTTCACTGGATAGCAGCCTTCTTTAACATATCATCCAGATGTGTTTGAATATACTAATGGCCATGCTAGCTGGGAATTATGTATATTGTAATCCAGGGCAGCAGGAAGACATCAGGTTAGAGAAAGTCACTCTATGTCTATGGAGATTCTCGTGCTTTGTCAAGAGGCAACTGGACTTTCTTGTTTTTCCTTGAAGATGTTTCAAGAATGAAGAATGAACTAAAGAAGCTTATTGGATGAGAAGCGAAACATCTTCAAGATAAAACAAAGAAAGTCCAATCGCCTCTTTAAAAAGCACCTTTGGGACAAAGTCACACTATGTGACTGAAGTAGAGAAACTGGAGCCAGTGCAGCAAAAACACAGAATAGAATTATTTGCTCATGACAATTTATTTAAATATTTATGTATTTCTTTATCAAATTTTGAAACTGCCCATCTCTCTCACACAGGGACTCTGGGAGATGTACAAATAAAATATTAAAATATGAAACCAGTATATACAATTTTAAAAAGGGGGACAATGGCAGAGAAGGCTTTCATCCTGGATCCTGCCAGTCAGAGTTCTTTCTGACCGGGTCTGCAACATACCTTCCCTGCCTAACTGGGTCGGATGGTCTGATATGATGGGCCAAAGACAATTCTGTAGGTAACCTGACCCCTGCCATGTAGGGCTTTAAAGGTCTTAACTAACACCTTGACTTGGACCTGGAAGCAAACCAGCACATAGTGCAGCTTGCGCAGCAAAGGTGTTACATGCTCTGTTCTATGGGGCCCAAGATTACCCATGCAGATACATTGTGCACCAGCTGATGCTTCCAGATACTTTTCAAGGGTAGCTCCACGTAGAGTGCATTGCAATAGTCTATAGCAGTGATGGCGAACCGAGTGCCCCAAAACTGTCTTGCCCCTCTCTGCCCCCGCTCTGCCCCCCCATGCCCCATCCACCCGCAGGGCCACCCACCGCCTCCATGGCCCACCGCAGCAGATTGCCCAGGTGGCCCTGCAGCACCATGGCGGCCATGCCCTCCGCTTGTGCCCCACAGCATCATCTGTGCATGACAGTGCGAGGGTGGAATCTTATCCCCGCTGCCTGGCTGTCATGTCCTTGGCTGCGCTGCTCCATGCGGGCTGCGCCTGGGAGTGACTCTTCTCTGGGGGAGCTGCTGGTGAGGGGGTGGCCACAGAGGAGGCAGGGCTGAGGCGACTGCGCATGTGCCCACAGAGAGGGCTCTGCGTGCTGCCTCTGGCACGCATGCCATAGATTCGCCACCACTGGTCTATAGTTAGGAATATAGCTTGGACATGCAAGAAAGATACATTTTTAAAACATTTATTCAACAAGAATAAAATTCAAACAGAAAAATGAACATCCAACACTAACAATGAGGGGGGTGGAATTCTTGTGCACAAAAAAGGGAAAAGAAAAAAAAAATAACCCAAATGTCAAATAGAACTAACATTAAAAATGTTCCAGCACATTGCAATAGTCCAAATGGAGAGTTTAGTTTGGAGTATAGTTTGGGTTTTTTTTTTTTTCCTAAAAAGTGTAAGAAATGCTGAACAATCTATAATATTTGATAAAATTTATAAAAACAATTGCATTTTACTTAAGACAAATCTCTTCAAAGTGCAGTAATAAAACCTGAATTGCTTTTCACCTTTGAATCGTTCCATTTGTTCACCACTAGCCATGGCCCTCTGTCAAAGCACCAGAAGGCAGGACAAGAAACAATGATTGGAAATTGACATAAGAGAGAAGCAACCTGGAATTAAGGAGAAACTTCCTAACAGTGATGACAATTAACCAGTGGAACAGCTTGCCTTCAGAAGCTGTTGGGTGCTTCATCACTGGAGGGTTTAAAGAAGAGACTCGACAGCCATTTGTGTGAAATGGTATAGGGTTTCCTGTTTTAGAAGGGGGTTGGACTAGAAGACCTCCAAGGTCCCTTCCAAGCTCTATTCTGATTGTTTGATCATGGAACACAATGCAATCTGTTTGGTATTTGTCATCTAACGCCTTCCAGGAGATGCTAAAATTAATCTCCTATTACCCTTTACCAGAATGTTTTGGGGGGTTGAAATAACAAACCAAACATTTTTTTAAAAAAAAAATTCCTGAATGTTTATGCACTTCATACTTTGCTATTTTTTAGAAGTAGACTACTATCAATGTTTGGCAACAGTGTTCAACTTTAATGGATCACGTTCACCAATCTCGCTTTATATTTTGGCTCGATCCATTCTTTCTACATGTTTAAAACATTAATTGATTGTATCTTTTGCCTGCTATTTTTGGCATTTTTTGTGTTTTTCATAACCACTATTCAAGAATGTACTGATTTATGATGGGCATTTTGAGGGCGTTCTGTAAAGGATGAATTTTAAGAGAGAAAAAATGAGAACAAGTTCTTAATCTCTGAAGGATTCTGCAGCATTACTATTCATGTCTGTTGAGTGAATAGTTTATATTAGCAGCAGCAGCAGCAGCAGCTTTCTTAGTCATAAGAAGCCTATTTATAATTGGTAAGAATTTGATGTTTATTCCTGTATTTACTTGGATTCATGCACTGTTCGGGTCAGATATATAGCTGGATTGAAATTAATGCTATGCCAAATGCTTGATCTACTTCCTTTCATCCCTTTCACGGAGCTCTCTGTGTTTGAAGGAAAGCAGTCATTTGGCAGAGCACTGCTTTCAGCCCAGTTAAACATCCTATGACTCTATTGATTTTCAAACTGAAAGGCTTGCATGTTTATTGCAATAAATATAAACACATGTAAATAATGCCTCTTCAAGGGGATATAAATAATGCAATTTGAAGTGAAATGAACAGAGAGCTGAATCCCCTGCAGAACTGGGGGAGGGAGAAAGGAAGTCATCTTAAGGCTCTTTTAATTTTTTTAAAAAAATCTCTAAGTGTTACCACCAATACGTAACAGATCCTTCCTTCCTTCCTTCCTTCCTTCCTTCCTTCCTTCCTTCCTTCCTTCCTTCCTTCCTTCCTTCCTTCCTTCCTTCCTTGCTTCCTTCCTCCCTCCCTCCCTCCCTCCTCCCTCCTTCCTCCCTCCCTCCCTCCCTCCGTCTCCGTCTCCCTCTCCCTCCTTACCCTCCCTCCCTCCCTCCCTCCCTCCCTCCTTCCTTCCTTCCTTCCTTCCTTCCTTCCTCCCTCCCTCCCTCCCTCCCTCCTTCCTCCTCCCTCCCTCCCTCCCTCCCTCCCTCCGTCTCCCTCTCCCTCCTTACCCTCCCTCCTTATCCTTACCCTCCCTCCCTCCTTCCTTCCTTCCTTCCTTCCTTCCTTCCTTCCTTCCTTCCTTCCTTCCTTCCTCTTGTTAAGATTTCAGAAGTGGTTTACCCTTGCCTATTCCTAGGGCTGAGAGGGAATGGGATTGGCCCAAGGTCACCTAGCTTGCTTTGTGACTAACGCAGGACTAGAACTCATGGTCTCCCAGTTTCCATTCAATCTTCCTCAGGTTTTTTTGTTCCTCACTCATTTCTTTTCCTATTGTTGCTCTTCCTACCCTCGTTTGTTTTTGAAAATGTCCCGCTGGCGGTACGGTGCGAGCGGGGTCCCCTCCGGCACTGTCTGCCTCCTCTAGGACAGACATGTCAAACACAAGGCCCGGGGTCTGTATGTGGCCTGCGAAGTGGTTTGATGTGGCCCCCAAAGCCATCCTGGAAACAGTGAGGGAACAGCCCCCGCTGCCTTGGCTCTGGCCCACGCCTGCTAGAAGCCAATGTACAATTTTGTGGTGGCCATCTATGCTGAAACGCATTCAGTCTTAGCTCCACAAGGCCGTCTGGAAACAGTGAGGAACCAGCCCCTGCAGCGTCGGCCCCGCCCCCTGGGTGTATGCTGGGGAGGTGTCACCCTTTGTGAGGAATGAAGAAACGCACCATCGCCTGGAAGTGGCCAGCAAATGGCCCTTGCCTACTTCACATATCTGGCCTGATGGGCTCCAGGGGAGGGGTTTCAGCAGGCAGTGAGGCTCCTCCAGTGGACCATGCCTTGGCACTTGCCCCGGTCCCACCCCCTTCTGCCAGAGACTGTTAGATCTGTCCCACTCCTGCCCAGGTCCCCACAGGCACCCTTGGTGTGAACGATGTAGAGCTGGCCATGCCCACCCAATAGGCCATGCCCACCCAGTAGACCACACCCACCCTGGCCACCCTCTCCCACCCCCCTGAGTGCAACCACAATGCTGATGCGGCCCTCAATGAAATTGAGTTTGACACCCCTGCTCTAGGAGGAGCCATGAGGTGCTGGAGTACCACAGCCAGAGCGTGGCTTGATTGGCTGGGTCAGACCATGTGGTGTGGAAGCTGACAGTGGCGGTGGGAGACAGATAAACATGGAGGCCATCTTTCATGAGAGGGTAGCGAGCCT